ACATATCAGTTGGCAAAGTGTACACATGTTAGGGATTTCCCTCATGAGTGGAGGGGGAGGGGGATTGGCAGGTCTAGGCCTCTATTATAGAGGAAATACACAATATGGGAGGGAGGAAAAAATTTTATACAGAAGATATTCTTAACAATTTGTTAGATTCCAAATTTGTTAACCTTGTTCTTTTATGATACTTTCATTTAATCATATTTTACTGCTAATTTGCTGTACTTCCGATCCAATGGCACATTATACAAGTCTCGTCTCAATGCGCCAATTTGAGGGAATGCTCAGGCAAAAGGAACAAAAAGGGAAAAGGTATGTATGGGGAAAAAGCAGGAAACAGAAAAGAGAGAACAGACAAAAACCAAAAAAACAGAAGAAAAAGACAGAAAGCAAATCTCATTTTGAAAATATCCACAGAAAGCAATTCACAAACAGATCATGGGAAATCATTCCAAAGTCTAGGAGCAGCAATTGAATACGCACTACCACCGAAAGTCTTTGTGCAACTACTGTAGAGGGAACAGTAATAGAGTGGATGCAGAGGTAGTTGATCTCAAACTGCATATAAATGTGGAAGATTGCAAAGTTGAAAGTTCAGAAATATAAAGATAGGTAGTTCAGTGATTTGTATAAATATATGAAGATATGAAGATATGAAGAAGCCCATGAAACCAATCGTGCTGCCATGTTAAGCTGCAGCTTACTAACTGACTTTTGCGGCACCCCATACAATAGACCATTATACAATAATCTAGTTTTGAAGTGATGAGTGCATGAATGACTTTCTTTGATGTATCTTCATTTAAGTATTGATGGATCTTCTTGATATTCCGTGCATAAATGCAACTGATTTGCAAGTACCAATAATACGCTTTTCAAGGGACATTAGTCAAATTGTAATTTTGTCGTTTAAATAACTTCTTATATCCTGTTTGTTGTGCTGTATGTTGATTTTTGATGTCATATCGGCCATCTATTTTATTGATTTTTTTTAAATGTTACTTCTATGTTATTTCTATTTTTTTCTAGTTTTATCATAATGTAATTTTAACCAAGTTGCCTTCAATTCAATTTTTATTGCCAAGGGCTTCTGTTTTCGAATGTGAATTTGTATCTATTTTCATATTGTGTTATAAAATGAGTTTCTATATGTAATTATATTTAATATGTATGTATTTTTCTGAATAAAATATACCTGAAATAAATGGAACACAACAAGTTTTTGACCAATCATACTTGGATATCATTGATATTGTACGCTTTCATCTTGGATTTGGCTGCATAGAAATGAGTTAAACTGGGCTTAAAGGAAATGTACAGTTGAGTATCATCTGCATAAACATGATACTGAATGAAATGTTTTTGAATTACTTGATTCAGAGAGAGAATATAAATCAGAAACAGAATCGGAAAAGAGTGGATCCCTGAGGAACTCCACAATTGACATTAAAGCCCCTAGGGGGTTTTCAGCATAAGAGTTACAAGAGAATGCCGAGTTGCTAACTCGGCAAAAACTCGTAGGACGATTCGGAAAGCTCGATTCTGAACTCGTGGCGCTAATTTTGAACATGTTCAAAATTATCGCCACGAGTAGATAACTCGTAGTAAACTCGAAGAACTCGTAGGTAGCTTGTAGAGTACTCGGGGTACTCCTACCTAGCTCATACACTACTCTGGATACTCGTCGGTGGTTTTGTCATCTACGAGTTTGATGCGAGCACCCAAAAACGAGTACAAATAAGTACGAGCACACCGAGTTGGCTCGTACCCAACTCGTATCTAATTCAGTACAAACTTGTTAAGCTCTTAATAATCTCGTAGTTAACTCGGTGCTCTGCTCAGCATAATTCGTACATAACTCGTAACCAACTCCATAAAGTCGTACCTCACTCGTAGCTAACACGTAATAAGCTCGTATAGGTCCTTTCCAAAGATCACGAGTTTTAACTCGTAGAAATCGTACGACTCTTAGGTGAAATAAACCTAGGTGAGAGAGGGGCTTAAGTCGGCAAGTGCCTCAAAGTTGTTAAACATTAGGCATTACATAAATACTGATTATTTTACTGTAGATCTGTTTTATTGATAATAAACCAAGCACAGTGGATGGTAATGATGATGATAATGATCACAATGATGGCCATGACTTTCTTTGTGAATGACATGGTACTTACAGATAATGATGATGAATAACAACTGAATGATGATAATAGTGTTTCAAAATAACAATAAAAAAACAATTTTAATAACTTACAGCCATTGGAACCATATCCCAATTGAGATGCTTGTGTTCCAAAAAGACATACCAAGCGGTGATACCAATAACATAGAGAAAGGCAAGTACACCTATACATACAAAGAACTTAGCAGCTCCAGAAGCATCACCACCAAGGTAGTAGTCACCCATTGTACAACCTCCAGGTACAAGAACTTTGTTGAGTCTAAACAGGTATCAGAGTGAGGTATGATGGCATGGAGAAATATTGTACATATGACAAATACGAATTACAAATGAATACAAACTAAAAACATATACATTGTATCCATAAAATCAGATATTATTAATATGGAAAATGGGTGTTGTTATCTATGTGTGAAAATAGAGTAGAGATAATAAATACAGTTCGCTCTCCAATTCAAGACCCTCTAATTCCAAGACCCCTCTAATTCAAGACCACTTACCAAGTACCCACTAACCCCCTATCTTTTAACACTGAGCTCACGCTCTAATTCAAGACCACTTACCAAGTACCCACTAACCCCCTATCTTTTAACATTGAGCTCACCCTCTAATTCAAAACCACTTACCAAGTACCCACTAACCCCCTATCTTTTAACACTGAGCTCACACTCTAATTCCAAGACTCCTTAATTCAAGACCACTTACCAAGTACCCACTAACCCCCTATCTTTTAACACTGAGCTCACCCTCTAATTCGAGACCAAAACCAACATTATGGAAGTAACAAGTGACAAGATACCTCCTATTGAAGGAGAAAATAAAATAAAACAGATAAAGTTTTTAACAAGAAACATTCTAAAATTTGGAGAAATTGAACTTCAACATTTACAGATATATTTTCATTAGTTCATCCATACAACTTAAGGTTTCTAAGATTATTCTCTTTGTATCTTTTTGTGCAAGTTGGTTTTTGAAAAGGAATTTATAGGGCACTAGCTGTTAATCATGAGAATCATAGCTATCGGTAGAGCTGGGGGGGGGGGGGGGGGGAATTGCAGTTAACAAATTTGGTTTTTAAACCAGAGATCCCAAGTCACCCGAAAATCGCGGGTTTCTTCCGATTTTTTAGGCTGTCTCCCGCCCTCCCGATTTTTATTAATTTTCTCCCGGTTTTTCTAAATATCACAAAAAATGTAATTTCCACGATGTCATATAGCAATGAAACAAAATTTATTTATCTGAAGAAAATATATTATGGCACCCCCGCTCAGCCATAAAAATGTCATAAGCTATATCAGGGAGTTGTTATTTAAAGTTGTTTATCTAAATAACAGCTTCATGGCAAGGTTTAAGCCTAGATCTGTGGTAGACAAATGTTGCGCAGCGCGTTGTAAGGCGTCACGGCGCGTCGATACAGGAGGCGATCGCTTCACGAAAAAAATATCCCTATTTTTTGCTTTTCCAACTTAGGATCTCTGTTAAACTGACCTGCTACCCCTAATACAGATACAGGATTTCAAATTTAGTGGGGTATGAGATCATATCCACACCAGCCCCCAACCTCTAAATGTCTGGAAATTAATGCTGACAACCTGTAGAGCCACTACCCCTCACCAATGCATTCACAAGATTTAAAGTTAGCATGGTTATCGAGCCTATTGGAAATATGGCACCTGGATACCCAAAAATAGCAGAGCTGGCAAAGATGTAGAGCCTCATCCCTCCCCCATCCTCCTACACAATGACAGGCACAAGATTTAAAATTAGTGGTGACTAGAGTTCGCACCCTGCTCAGCCCCACCATGGACAAATAGAGGCAAATGTAGGTCTACTGTGACAATGATAAACTGTTGAAAATTTAATTTCTATCAGTCAGTGCCATAAATAGATGGATGAATTAAGTTGTTTATTCCTCTATGAATAAATAAAGAGCGAGGAAAATGAATATATTATAGTAGAATGAATAACTAACAGCGCCTGGTTTTGGTTGCATATTGTTAATATTTACACAATGTGCAAGGTATTGTGAAATATTAACAATATGCAATTAAATAAACACGTGTTATGTATTCACTGGAAGCAATATGCTATGCATTATGAAATGGGTCTACAAATATGAATACCGTAGAGTTTTAAATAACATACAGTAGTGCTGATACAATTATATTTACACCTTCCGGTCCTTGCCAAGTTCGGCCTGAAGTATTTTAGATGAGTTGTACTATCACTTGAATTGTTAAAAATCTTTTAAGTATGTGCTCCCTTACATTTGCTTATGGTAGGCATTACACAGATTTCACATTAATTTTCAATAGTCAATTTTTAGTTTATTTGTGGCAGACAGACCATGTAGATATACCTCTATGGACAGATCTAGGCCTTCCAGGTGATAAAGGCATAATTGACAGAGCACTAAGATTCAAGGGTGATCCACCTTTTTTCGTGAAAGGGTGGAGGGGCACACTGTTAGAATGTGGTTGGTTTTACAGTGGGGGGTCCAGAGGCCCTGCTGTGAAAACTTTGTTAATATGGGTGCCCAGAAAAAATATGAAATACAGTAGAACACCTGCTTTGGTACATTCCTATTCAGGGGATACCCCTTAAGGGGACACTTTTTGATGAAATGAGGAAAAATAGATCTTTTAACGCTACAGCCAACCCCAAAGAGACACTATTAAGAGGATGGGGACACTTTCTGTGTTGGCCAAATGGTCAAATAACCCCTATTAAGGCAGTGTTTAAGTTGTCATTAACCAAATCCTAATAAAAGCTAAATTTTAATAAAAAATTTTCATTTAAAATTAGCCAAAATTTTATTTTTGCTAATCAAACTTCTATTTGGCAAATTATTTTCACACCAAATTAGCCATATTGCTAAATATTTTTTTGCCAGCTTAAACTCTGTTAAGGGGACCCTTATTTTTTTTCGATTGTATTGCAACTGTGAGCAGTATTAAAAAAGAAAAACTCATTTAACTTTATAATATTTTGAGACCTTTTGAGCAATAAACCAGAATTTTCGCCACTGAAGCCTTTGATTGACCATCGGCATGGCCTAATGCATGTGTTACTTTGTATATTGAACCAATCTTGCCAATTTTTTACCCGTAGCCATGGGGATTTCTTTTTCTTTGTTTTTCGTGTACATTCATGTAGGATTCTAATCCATACCATAACATGCACCCTTAATTGGAAATCGTTACTCTATTTGTTACATCAAACCAATAGAAAGCTCATATTCAGAGTTCAAAGATATTTGGTCACTAAAATTGCACCATGAAATAATATTGGGAACATATAAAACAATTGTTGTTTTAATTATATTTTAGCTGATTTCATATGATAATTTAATTGTATATGCATTGAAAAATACTGCTATAAATTCGTTCTAATTCTACTGTAACTGATTCTTACTGATATGTCAATAAAAATAGTTATAAGAATGTCATGTTTTATAAAAACATGCTAAAAAACCCTATTCACTAGCCGAGTATGTCTTTTTTTTTTTTTTTTGCGTAATAATTAGACCATTTAGACAAACAGACCTGATAATTGGAACAAACCGGGACTTTAACATACGAAACCTAAAAAATATGATTGGAAAAAAAACTTATGATGAGTTAAAAAGGTTGTTTATGTTTTCATATTTTTTTCAATGTGTTTTAAACAAGTAGGTACAACATATTTAAACAGCAAACATAAGTTTCTTGGAAACAAATAAATGGTTGTCTCATGTTGTCTTTTGGAAACCACTTCGAGTTTCAGTCTTCATTTAGAGTTTCAGGTTCAGTTACCCTCTAATTATGCTCTTTAGAGACCACTCTTAGACTGTGGTCTCTATTTAGAGATTTCTAATTTGAGACCAAACCCCAAGACCACACCAAATTTCAGGAAAGTGGTCTGGAATCTGAAGGCGGACTGTATTAATTCAAAACTTAGGTGGACAGAACTGTCTTGGCTGCTAATTTAAACAAAAAAAACAAAACAGGTTGGTGCACTTGGTAGAGGATAGCACAATTTTGGAGACAAATTGACATATACTCATTCGCCGCTTACTATTTACTAAGCACTTAAGTATAAATACACATGCTCACTGGTATCTCACCTAGTTAGCGCTAAGTACTTTTTGAAATAATGCTAATGCTATGACTTATCATTAGTTGATGTAAAAAAAATGCAAACAATGGGCTTAAAACTAAAGTCAGTTCAATATGTGCAGCTAATACTGTTTAATACTATGGAATGGACTAAATACCAGAGTATAAGTTCAGTAGTACTTACTCAAAAGGATAAGCGATTTTGAACTTTTTATTTTGGGGCCCACCAGTTTTATTACAGGTGATGGTATACCGCAATTCATCACCATAACCTGCTGTGGTAGCAAACATACAAACAGCAAGAATCTAAAAGAAAAAGCAATGAAAGTCAATCATTTTGTTGTATTTCCTTGACATCCAACAACAAGTACACTTGCCACTTCAGGATGGAATGATGCTTTATAAACTAAGTCTCTTTTATGAGGTTTAAGGAGTAGAGTTGTTTTTTAGTTGAGAAAAAAAATCCTGCAGTGACAGGCTTTGAACCCAAGACTCTAGGACTGGAAAGCAGGCATCTTACCCAACAAGCTAAAGCTCCAATCCACAATTACAATAAGGTTATAGAAACATGTTCATGTAATAACATTTATAAAATTGCCAGTTTGGCAATTAATGACAACAATAAAAGTTTAGTAACTATTACAATAAAGCATGGATTGTTATAAAATATTACTTAGGGGCTAACAAATAAATAAGTAAAACATTATGTTTGAAAACCTAAATCTGGTATTCCAAAAATGTGATAACTTTCTCATAAACATACTGTGGTTTGTTGTTGTGTGTGTTGTACCTAAGCCTTTACTTCATAATATTTAAGTTTTTTTCAGTGGACTTAATGATAAAACAAACAAAATACAGTACAGTACTTACAAATTCCAGGATCTTGATAAATCCACGTGGCTCCACTAGAACTCTCAACCTCCATGGCTGTAAATTAAGAATACTAAGAACTTATTAACTAGCAACAATAAGAATCAATAAGTTTGAACACTGTGCAAGGAAATCTTGCAAACGCCAAAATTCCCCCCCACCCCCAAATAATTATCTTACCCCTTTTCCCCCACCCAAATTATATCAATCGCTTTAGTGAAGTTGACGCAAACTAAAATTTATCAAAAATCACCTAAGAACCACCATGGCCAATATGAGACTAAAGAGCCTAACAGTGTACACAGAAGACAAGCACTTTCCATCGACCTTGATGATTTTGTTGATAGATTTGTTAGGAAGTTTCCAAATGCTGGAATAACGCTGGTGCAAGGGATGTAAAATCCAATTGATAGCAATTTTGTTATTGGTCAATGTTTTAGCTTTAGTACTTTATTGGTACATAATTTATGAGCGCAGTTTAAATGTTTTAGTGACTTTTATTAATAGTTAACAATGCACCGTTTAGATGTGTTGAGAAACTCTTTCAAAAGAAGAACTGGCCAGGACACACGCTACAACTACCAGATTAGACACACTGTCAAAGATAGCTGGCATTAACATAACAGCACATGAGGAAAGCGAAAGGAAAAAGAAGCAGACCTAATCACTCATGGATAAACAAATAAACAAAGACCTCAAACCAATCAACAAAACAATAAATACTTTATAAAACAATAAATACTTTATAATGACTACGACAGGCTGAATTGCAAGAGAGTGATAGCAAGGCTATTAATGGCTTGACTAAACCAAAAAGGTCAAAAGAAGAAGTAGGGCCTAGGCCTGTAGTCATCATCATGCCATTAAAACCGGGCCTACAATATATTAATGAATATTCTTTATTCTATATTCAAAGTTTATAGAGAGGGTGACATTTCCAACTAGATCAAGAAGGCCAGCTGATTTAGGGGCCCTCTATTAAAAATATAAAACATACCTGAAATTAATTAGATAAATACAATATTTACAAAATGACAAAAACAAATATGCAAAAAAATGAACAAGCAGAGACAAACACACACAAACATTTAAGAATATCCTTGGGAAAAAAATATAAAAATAAATAAAGAAATAATAATAAATAATTTAATAAATTATAAAAAATATGTAATTAGATAAAAAATGTGATAAATAGATGTTATATTCGTACTACTATCAAATATGTTTTCAAAACTAGATTTAAAAGCAATGAGGTTTGAACATTAATATGGAAAATACTAAAAAAATAATACCTGTTGAAATATTTCAGAAAAAATATATAATTGAAATGCGGCTGAATGCCAATGTTCTGTATGAAATTTAATAATGTGATAATTTTCATTATTATTAACATTCCAATGATAAGCTCGTTCCGCAGTCACCCATCAATGGGAAAATAAATTAATACTTTAAGTAGTATCAAAATGTGAAAATCGATTAAGATGTGCACAAGCTGCTCTGTGCAGTTTCTAAAACTATGCAACATTCTCCTTACGTGTGTTCCGACAGAATAATAGAAAATAATGAAACAACTTCAGTAGTAGACTTTAAGAACACTGATTTATTATAAACTCGGATATTTCTGCCACTCCTGTGGCCTTCATCAGCGAGAATGAGGAAAACATCATGAATCAATATAATATAGGCTGTCTTATCAAAAAAGAATAAAGGTGACAGAGAGCAAATGAGGAATACTTATAAAACTGTACAATGATTGGTCTATTTATCTATGCATACTGAGTATCTCAGATACTCAGTAGATATATATATATATATATATATATATATAATTTTTTATTTATTTATTATTATTTATTCTTGGTGTTTTACTAATTCATATTTATATAATATTTTTATATTTTAAATACCAACCTTATATCTCGTTTTTATGTGTTATGTATGGGAACCACTTGCCAGTTGATTAAGTTCGCTTTTTTGTTTCCTGTCTCCTCTGTTTTTTTGCTCTTTGCCCGTCATTGTTTATTTTATTTGTATTTTTTTGTATTTGCATGGTAAAGGTAAAAGGTAAAGGTAGGAGAATAACCCATAACTTGCAGCGTCATTGTGCTGAATTGCATATGGGTGTGGTCTGTTACTACCTAGCAGCCGTATAGAGGCGCTTCTTGGTAGATACATGTTCACATCATTCCACAACGACAGGGGCTGAAATGAACCATAACATCGGGGTAACCCCTACTCTTCCGAAAGATGCAATGGGTTCTTTAAAGTGCACACGAGCCAGATGTATACACTGGACCTCCATTTTAAGTCCTTATCCGAGAAGGAGCGGCTGGAACAAGCGCCAATGTTAAGGCTGTAGCTAGCGGTGCCCCTGCCTTACCGCTCGGCCACTCGACTCGGGTTTGAGAGAGAAATAAATGAAATGAAATGAAAGATTTCCTTGGACAATTTGCAAATTAATTTGTGGTAGTCATTCAAAAACTGTGCAGGAAAAAATTATACCACACTATTGCAACAAAAAAATAGTGAGCACAGATTAAATTACAGATGCATATAATTAATACAGACATGATGTCTGAGTTAACAAACATTGAGCTTCTTCATATTTGTCATAAAATACACACTGTAGCTAGGTACACACAAAAAATTATATCCTTTAATTGACTTCAAATATAGTTTCACATTAATTCAGTGGAAAAACACATTTATGCGAGTAATCCATTGTTTAGTTGACAAAAATTAGCTATATATTTACAGTATACTAAATTTAATTATTTAAGAATACACCTTTTTCCTAATTTACACATGTTGGCCGATCTTCAATTTGTCCCCATATGCATGCACCGCATGTGCAGCCTAGCTACAGTAAGCCCAGACGTGATGCCTCCTCTCTCTTCACATGTTCTGGTAGGCTACACAATGACTCATCACCTGTATCATGGCCTAGAGTGGTTCAGAATCTACATAGCCTAGGGTATATAGGGTACACTCGGGGCACTGAGTTTATTAAATTACATCAAAAATATCATTACAAAGAGTAGGTACTGTACATTACAAACCGTGATGTCGCACTTCAATGTTACATCTCCCTGTTAAGTGGGCTTGCACTGCCTTGTTATTACTTAGGTGATATACCGGACGCAGGACTAATGTCCTCTATGTCCAGATCCAAATTTGTTGATCATGGAATTCTCGATTCTTGTTTTATGGTCAAACTTAACTGGTTGATCGTTCCAGTATTTATCTAGTCTATTCTCAAACGCATAGAGAGGGAGCTGTTACAACTTCATTTGGGAGTTCATTCCAATTGTCTACAATGCGATTGCCAAAGGAAAACCTTCTGAAGTCTACACAGGAAAGTTGCTTTAGCAGCTTAAGAGAGTGTCCATGAGTTCTGTCTGATACATTTAATTGTAAAAAACTAGTGACAGTCTCAGAACTATCATAAAAATTATTTAGAATTTCAAATGTCTCGATCATATTGCCTCTATATCTTCTGTACTTAAGAGTAGGTAAATTTAATGTATGGAGCCTATCAGAGTAACTTAAAACCTACAACCTAGAAACAAGTCTACTGTAGTCTACATTCTCGATCCGGTCAATGTGTTTCTTTAAATGCGGGCATCAGACTGAGATACTATACTTAAGATGGGGTCTAACAAAGGCTTTATATAGAATATACTCCATGTAGGTAAATACATGTCTTATGATGAGTCCCATTAATCTATTTGCTTTATTAACTTTCTCAAGGATATTAATTTCAAATGACAATTTGGAATCTACTGTAAGGTCACTCCTAAATCTTTCGCAAAAAGGACATTCTCTAAATACTGGTCACTATTAATAGGATCAAGAGAATAATTGTACTATTGAAAAGCTACATTTCTCCTTCCTAATGGTAAAACTTTACATTTCTGAGAGTTAAATTCTAATAACTAAGTTGATGACCATTTCATCGCTAAGGTGTTGGGTTTTTAAAAAAATCTTTAAAAACGCGTTTCTGATTGGATATTGGTGATGTCATGCTTTAATATGCAGATAAAAGGTTAAAGAAAGGTCACAAATTTGTTTTGCGTTCATCCATTGTGTATTTAAAATGTAGCTGACGTCTGAAGTTTATACTCAAATAAAATGCACTTTTTTAGTAGAACGGTGAATATACTTTTCTAATGATTAAAAAGTACATTTACATAGATAAGTAATTAACATTTGGCCAAATATGAAGAAATTTGACAGACTGCCAAGTGGTTTTTAAGAGCCAGGAAATACTATACACTAAATTATGGCATCGCTTGAGTTTCGTCAATGCACAGTGCTGTTAAAAAGGTCACAACCATTACATACAATCCCTATCTATGTCAAGTTTCCGCTTAAAAATATATTTCTAAAAAATTATATAAAATCAACAACTTGTTCAAATTTAATCAAATAAACTTTATTTTGATATTTAAATGCAGGAGAATTAACTTGCATACTATCATTTAGATCCAAACAAGATGATTTTTTTTTTTAACATACCTGTACCTACTGTACAGAGTTAAATTAGTCAGAAATTTTCATATTTTTTATAGGAAACGATATATCTATGTGAAATAAATAATGCATGTGCAGTCATACTTTTATAATAAACATATCACATAAGTTCTTTGAAGGTAGGAATTCCATCTTCTGAATCACTGATCAGATTGGCCTCTAGCCTAGGCTACAGGAGAGAGGCCAGGCCTGAGGTAGCTGACCTATAGGGAACCTACAATAGATTAGGCTGGTAGGAGGCCTAAGCTTGGTAGAGAGGCCTCTCTAGCTAGGCCTAGGCTAGTTCTAGCTATTGTTGGGACCTAGGCCTAGCCTAGCTAGGCCTAGGGCCTAGACCTGGCCTACTACTACTAGAAGAGCTAGGCCTAGGTGACAATGTATGTACCATCACACAAACCTGTTCTTGTGAACGGTTTTCCATCTTCCTTCTAAACAAGACAAAAGTGGGTGGGTTCCTTATAAAAATAGGCCTATACGTCACTCTCGTGTCTGGGGCGGGCGGGGCGGCGGCAGAGCGGAGATATGATGATGGCCGATAGGTGGCGCCCTTGTGGACAAGTTGAAAGTAAGTGGCGGATGAGCGTGTTGTTTGGGTGGAGGAGAGGAGAGCAGAGTGACTTTGCAAAGACTGGCAAAGTGGTATTGTTTAAGACTCATCAACAAAAGGTAGGCCTAGCCTAGTGAATATAGATTCCCCTTGTAAGTTGCTCTAGATAACATACAAACGATACTAGGCTAGGCTAGTCTGTGTGTATGCGAAAAAACAGTAGGCATAATTTATCCCATTATTTACGAACGATTAACTTTAGAATCATGGTGTGTAGCCTAGGCCCCTCGCTCGGACCTTTACACTACAGACAAGTCTAGCCTAAGTAAAGTAGGCATTCATGGCCTCCTAGGCCTAGGGCAAGTGTCATAATGCCTAGTCTAGGTTGGCCTAATGACGGATCCCAACTGCAAGGGGTGAAATCTTCTATCAAATCTGGTCAAATGAAAATATTACAGAGTACTAGGTTAGGCCCTAGGGCTAGGCCTACTATAGAATTATTATGACCCTAGGGCCTAGGTCCTGGCCTAGACTAGGCCTATGCCTATTTATATCTTTTTAAAGAAGAAAAAAAGATAGTTATTAGTAGGCCTAAGTTTAGTAATGTTCTGCAAATTTGAGTCGTTTGCACAATTTACAAATTGTGCAAGCTCTTCCTTGCGCAGTTTTAAATTGCGCAAACAATTTGCAAACTGTTCGGGGGTATTTTCTGATCGCTTAAATCTCCCAAAAAATATAGTTAATATAAATGTCAGTAAATAAATTTAAATGTCACATTTTACGATAATTTCTGAAAGAAACCTTGTGTAGTTTGCATACTGTGTGCACAATTTGAAACGATTTTTAAACAACATCAGCAATTTAAATGAGCAAAAGGAATAAACTGCACACAACAGAAACAAACTCTAACAAAAAAAATTAATATTATTGATTCAGTAACAATGGCTTGTATCACTTTTTCGGTTGCTTTATACTGTCTTGTATCAAACGAAGGAGGTATAAAATAGGATGAAACTTATGTCTTATAATAATTTAATAATTTTCACAGATTGCTCCAAGATGTTCCAAACAAGATCAGAATATGACAGGTACTTTATTTTATATTAAAATGCTCAGGAACATGATGGTAAATTGTGCATCAAAGTGCAAGTTTTAACACATTTTACAATAATTATTGCAATAATGGTTTTACTGTTCTTATTTAGAGGTGTCAATACATTCTCACCTGAAGGCAGAATTTTTCAAGTTGAATATGCAATAGAAGCAATCAAGGTAAAGTTATCAATACAAATCTTGACAGTCAATTTTTAATGAAACATATTTGCTGTTATTTTGTAGATTTTAACACATTTCAAAAACTGTCCAAAACCATTGAAATTAATGGGTGTTTTGAATTACAAACATGAATAAACAACTTTGTAGAAAAGGTTGAGATTTGCTTAAATTGTCTTTATATAAAAATGTCAAAATACATCCTTTTGTTTGCCATGAAGCTTGGCTCAACAGCAATTGGTATCAAGACAGCAGATGGTGTGGTCCTAGCTGTTGAGAAGCGGATTACCTCACCTCTTATCGAGCCATGCAGTATAGAGAAGATAGTGGAGATAGACAGCCATATTGTTTGTGCCATGAGCGGACTAATTGCTGATGCAAGAACGCTAATTGATAGAGCCAGGGTTGATGCTCAGGTGAGTGCCCAATACCATGATAAAAAAAATAAGTCCACACAATTTGCATGCAAGATAAACCTGCAGATTAACATACATGTATATGCGAGTATTTATAGGATGAGCATGTAGATTAACATGATGTATGGTAAATCAAAATAAGAATTATTACCTTTTGAATAATTATTTTACTTTTTCAGAACCATTGGTTTACATACAATGAGCAGATGTCTGTAGAAAGTGTTACACAATCAGTATCCAACTTAGCACTTCAGTTTGGTGATGATAAATCTGATGTCAAAGTCATGGTGTGTACCACTCATTTTTTTTTATTAACTCAATGTAGCAATCACTAATATGTTGTTTCACAATGTGGATCAAGTGCCCTAGAATGTATTGGTTGTTTAAAAAGGTACAGTATATGTATTGTTGATTGTAAATTGAACCTACTGTATTATATAACTGGCTATAGAACTCAACACATTAATGACTAACTAGAGTATACACATTTATTATCTCTGGCTTTTGTCAATACAGTGGACTTCATCAGGAGTCTGCTAGGAAAAATAAATGTATATAGTTAGTGCTGAGTTCTGTCATTTATATTGTATTGAAGCAGACTAACATGGCTAAATATTTTGTTCATCATTCACATTTTTACAGATCTATCTTTAGCATGTAATAATTGATTTCTATTATATTGTTTTAGAGTCGTCCATTTGGTGTTGCTTTACTCTTTGCTGGTGTTGATAAGGACGGTCCGCAACTGTAAGAATAGATTTAAATAATCAAGGCATCTAAAATCAACTTTTGGCCTATTTCACCTTAATTTCAGTTGTTGATAGATGAGATTATCTAGTGCATCACTTTACTATAAGAGAAACCCTCTAAATCAAATAATTAGGCAACTTGAAATTTGATTGATTGACATACTTAATATTCATGATAGGTTCCATATGGATCCCTCTGGTACATTTATAAAGTTTGATGCCAAGGCAATTGGATCTGGGTCAGAAGGAGCACAATCACAGCTACAAGAAGTATACCACAAGGTAAACAAACTTATGATTGATGGTATAATTTGATCTAATATTATTTCTAATACTCAAATATAGATTTTTGCACACCGATTTTAAACAAACCAACTAAAATATATTAATGTGGTATGTTGATAGCTACTGCTTAGTGTTTTTTATTTATCATTTTTAGTCAATGACGCTGAAAGAAGCAACGAAGGAGTCACTAGTAATTCTAAAGCAAGTAATGGAAGAGAAACTAGGTGCAACAAATGTGGAGGTAATTCATTTAACATTTCTATCTATGATTCTCCTAAATCATTCTACATGCTAATGCTGTACAATATTTATTTTCCTAATTGATATTTTTTTTATATTCTTCTTATTTATTTTCTGCTCATTGTTATTAATATTGATGTTGGATGTGGTCAATTTATACTTATACTCATGATTATTTCCCAGGTTGCATCAGTGACAGACAAGGGTGAATTCCACATGTTTTCAAAAGAGGAAATTGAAGCCATCATTTCTGAGCTGTAGACTTCATAATTAATACACAAATAAGCCTTAGTTTTATAAATGTTTATCCTATAAGTATCGTGATTGAGAGCTTAGTAACATCAACAGCAAGTGATCAAGTTTACCTATATGAGATATATATGAGATATCAAAAAGTTCAGTACATGGTCCAGTGTTTACTAGATTTATCTGATTTTGACACATACTGACCAAATTTAATACATATCTCAGTGTATATCCAAATAAAATTTGTTTAAATATGCAGCATGGTTAGACCTACCATAGGTGTTGACATTTAGATTAGGTTAAGTTTTGTCTCTGGTTTATTTAAACTATATGATCTAGCATTTAATATCAAAAGCTGCAATGAAGGAGTCAGTTGTTATGACAATGACCTAGATACTTTACGTAAAATACCTTTTTTTTTTAAATATTTGGCCATTCTAATAAATGACTTGTATTGTAATATACTGTATATGTGAATATATTTTATTAATTTCTGAACTGCTACATTATTGCTTCTAACTCGTTACAATTAAAAATAAATGCATCATTAAAAACATACAAATCATTAATAGGTTCACACCAAGGAATGATTCCAAACCTGAAGACCTAACATATGAGACAAAATCTAACAACATTGGAAGACCATAAGAGAAGTAGGAGACAGTAAATCCATATCACAAGTAAACACAGTTAGATAAAATGAGGCCTATTACAGTATACAAAAATGCAAAGTATCACAAAACAAGGACACAAAATAATCAATAAATGATAATAATAATTTTGAATTAATATACTGCATAATATTAAGACCTCTATGCACTTTACAGCTAAAAGTGAGATAAATTAGTTGACAATTCACTTAATAAATGAATAGCTACTATATACAATAAATGTTAACTTTATTTATTTGAAAAATACTGTAGGATGTTCAGCAACTGGAACTACAAGAGTGCTGCATCTGCCCACTCTGCTCAGCATTTAATAAAAGGTGATGTACAATTAAGTGTTGAACAGAGGAATGACTGAGCTGTATGGTTAACATCACATGTTTACCAATATAGACCTACAAACTATCATCACTATGGTTTATAATATTGGTCATATTTTAAATTTGGGGGATCATAATTAATGATTGTATACTAACATTGGCTGTTACTCATTTTCAAGAGAGTACTAAACATACTTTGACCTGCAACCCCCATCCTGCCCCTTCCTGACTAGGTCCTTAGTAGCTTTGGTCTACTTAGAATACAGTATATCATTCCAGTTCTATACAGTGCATCATGCAAACAAGTCTCCAAAATTAACATGCTATGATGAACAATAGCCACATAAGTATGACATTATTAGGCAACAGAGTATACAAGCCATGCTGATGGGCCAATCAAGAGTTCGCAGAACATAGGAATCAGAAGACTACTGTATACAAGCCATCCTAAAGGTAAAAGGTAAAGGTAGGAGAATAACCTATAACTAGCAGCGTCCATTGTGCTAAATTGTGTATGGACGTGGTCTGTGACCACCCTAGCAGCCGTAAATAGGCGCTTCATGGTAGATACATGTTTACATCATGCCAACACGATGGGCTGAAATGAACCGGAACATCGGGTAACCTCCTACTCTTCCGAAAGATGTAATGGGTTCCTTAAAATGCACACCAGCCACATGTATACACTGGACCTCCATTTTAAGTCCTTATCTGAGAAGACTTGGTTCCAACCGAACCATGGGCGAGGAGCGACTGGAACAGGGGGTTGTGTCAACGCGCCTCAAGGTTGTGTCAACGTG